TACTGGGCTGAAAAGTGGCTCCCCAAAAGATATGTTCAAGTCTTAACTTCTGGAACCTGTGAATGTGACCTTATTCGGGAAAACAGTCTGTTCAGGTGCAATTAAGTTAAAGATTTTGAGATCATCCTGGTTTAGGGTGGGACCTAAATCCAATGATTTAGAGAGAAGGCAAAGGGAGATTTGAGACACTCAGACACAAAAGAGGAAGACCATGTGAAGGCAGAGATTGGAGGTAGGCAGCCCCAAATATAAGAACACCTGGAGTCACCAAAAGCTGGGGGAGACAAGAAAGAATCCTTCCCTAGAGCACAAAGGGAAGAACCCAAAAAGCATGGCCCAGGCAACAATTGTGATTGAGGACTTCTAGCCTCTACCACTGTGAGAGAGTAAGTTTCTCTGGCACTAATCTGTTATGGCAGCCCTAGGGAACTGCTAGAAAAGCCAAAATAAGTGAAAATAAGTGCTCAAATACTTGTAAACAAATGTACATAACAGCACTATCCACAATAGTCAAATGGCAGAAACAACCTAAATGTCCATCAAACGATGAACGGATCAATGAAATATAGTATATATACACAACAGAATATTGTTCAGCTATAAAAAGGAATGAAGTAAAGATACATGCTACATGTGGATTAACCTCCAAAACATTATGTTAAGTAAAAGAAGACAAACACAACAAGTCACATACAGTATGATTCCATTTATATGAAATATCCAGAATCGATAAATCCTTACACAAAGAAAGAAAATTGCTGGCGATCAGGAAATGCAGGGAGGGAGGAATGAGGAGTGGCTGCTTAATGTGTACAAGGTTGTCCTCTGGGGTGATGGAATGTTTGGGACTGGATACAAATGGCACTTGTACAATATTGTGAATGTGTGATGAATACATAGTGAATGTGCCACTGAAATGTACATGCTAAAACAATTCCATGTTGTATGAACTTCACCTCAATAAGAAGCTGTTCTTTAAAAACAAAAGTACAAAAATCATACTCTGAAAACTGCAAAACGTTGTTGAAGTAAGTAAAGACTATCTAAATAAATGGAAAAACACCTTGCATTTATGGATCAGAAGGCAATATTGTTAAAATGGCAATACTTTTCAAATTGATCTACAGGTTCAGTGAAATCCCTACCAGAATCTCAGCTGACTTCTTTGTAGAAATTGACAAAATTCATATGGAAATTCAAGGGACTTGGAATAATGAAAACAATTTTGAAAAAGAAAAACAAGGTAGGAAGACACACTTCCCAGTTTAAAAACTTACTATAAAATGTTCATCAAGACGGTATGAAAGTCCAGAGATAAAACCACGAGTCCATGCTCAACTGCTTTTTGACAACAATGTCAAAATCTCTCAGTGGGGGAAAGACTAGTCTTTGGTGCTGGGACAACTGGATACTCTCATGCAAAAGAATGAAGTTGGACCCGTACCTCACCCCACATACAGAAACTAACTCAAAATGGACCAATGACCAAAATATAAGAGTTTAAAATTAAAAGCCATTAAGAGGGGTGCCTGGGTGGCTCAGCTGGTTAAGCATCTGCCTTCAGCTCAGGTCATGATCCCAGTCCTGGGATCGAGCCCCGCATCGGGTTCCCTGCCTAGCAGGAGAGTCTGCTTCTCCCTCTCCCTCTGCCCCTGCTCCTGTACTCTCTCAGAGTCCTGGGATCAAGGCCCATGTTGGGCTCCGCGCTCAGTGGGGAGTCTGCTTGTCCTTCTCCCCCGGCTTGTGCTTGCGCTCTCTCTCTCAAATAAATAAATACTTTTTAAAAAAAATGTAAAAATTTAAAAATAAAAAGCCATTAGGAGAAAACATAGGGGTAAATATTCATAACCTTGGATTTGACAATAGGATTTTAGATATGATACTCAAAGCACAAGCAATAAAAGGAAAAATAGATAATGTGAGCCTCATCAAAATTTTAAAATTCCATGCTTCAAAAGCCATCATCAAGAAAGTGAAAACCTGGGCACCTGCGTGGCTCAGTTTGTTAAACAACTGCCTTCGGCTCAGGTCATGATCCTGGAGTCCCGGGATCGAGTCCCATATCAGGGTCCCTGCTCAGTAGGGAGTCTGCTTCTCCCTCTGACCCTCCCCCCTCTCATGCTCTC